TAGTATATCAGGGCTATCATAGGATGATTAAATAACTAGTGTTAATTGGAATTTAATGACGGTGAGAAAAGATTCACTGGAAAGAGGGATGAAACCCAAAGAAAGCTAGTAAAAAAAGCAGACAAGGAGTTCAACAATATTTGGAAATGTGGACCTGACAGGAAAATTAGAGTAGGTATGGGAAAAATGTGAGATCGTGCACCTGGGGAAAATAATCCAAAGTAAAGACGTCATTGGCATAATAAACCAAAGGATGCAGCGAGGATGAAAGGAGAGATTTGAGACAAGACAAAATATTGTAGCCACAAATTCCTCTTTTAACATTACTGACCATTTTTTCTCCAAGAAGGTTATTTTATTTTTTAAGCAAACAAAAATGTCTTGTACTTCCAGGTCTAGTAGGTACTATTAAAACTTCAACAAAGGAGTCTGCTCCCATAGTTTGCAAAGTGGAAGAAAAGGTGAAAACATCAAACTCCTCAGATCACAATGAATTTTGAAAGCATTAGTACAGAACTTCAATTTAAACCAAGATAGAGTTAGGAGAGAATGGGATGGATGTGTAAACTTATTTAATGTCACAAAGTCAGTTTGCTATTTAATTCTGTCTTATCCAGTCTACCTTCCTTATAACTCTCTTAACTCAGCAGTAATCCACAGGGATCTTAAAGGAAGAATGAGACCTTGGGAATTATTTTGAAAAGAAAAAACAAACAAATAAAAACCAACAACAACAAAAAAAAAAAGCTAGTAAACATTTTACAGAGCACAGGCTTTTAACTTGAAATTGTATCTTACCAAAAATGTTCCTAATGAAGACAGACATCCAAGCTCCTCCTTGTTATCATGAAATTGTATGGCAACATGACTATTTGAGCAATAACAAGAGCAATAAGTGGACACTCCTTGGACACTACACAGTTGGTGTAGATTTTCTGTCCAATTGACTTCCAAGTTCTGGTCAAATTCTAAAATTTCATCTTTTATAGTTGCATTTCTATTTCAGTTTATACAGCAAAATGAGGTAAAATCTCTTCCACCAAAAAACCTAAAGCAGGAATATCCTAGGTCCTGGAAATACAATTTCTGAAGATTCATGGGAAGGCAATAGTTTCTACTGCCCACATCGTTAATTAGAGTCCCTCTGTACTTCTTCAGCAGCTCCTTCACAAGCAGAAGAGTGGGATTCTCCCACCTCCACCCTTGCTTTATCAATGGCCATATCCCTTATTAGACAACCTGAATTATAAACAAATGCACAACCTGTTTGATTGGGTTACACAATCACACATTTGTGGCAAGACATGTTGAGGGAATGAATTTCAGGAAGAACTTCTTCATGGAAAGGGTTGTCCAGCACTGGAATGGGCTGCCAAGGGAAGTGTTCAAGAAACAACTGGATGTGGCACTCAGTGCTCTGGTCTGGTTGACAAAGTGGGAATCGGTCACAGGTTGGACTCAATGTCTTTTCCAACCTTAATGATTCTGTGCTTTTGGGAGTGTTTATGGATTTCTGAGGCTTTGTCTGTTGTCATGGTTCTGGTCTGAGTCCGGTTTTTTCCTTTCCCTCTGCCATTTATTTATCAGTTGCTCAATTGCTTTTCAACACAATTATCTGTTTTGCAGCTTGTACCCAATGCTACCTGTTATTTTTGTGTTTTTCAGATGTAAGAACACAAATGTTCTAAGTCTGTACAGCTGCCAGCTGCAAATATGCATGTAAGCCTTGGGGAGTCTGCTTTCTCAGACTGCCCTTGCCAAGATATTTACAAATAAAGGCACTAAATTAATCTCTCGTGTGACTCTTTTGAAGCAAAAGTTTTGGCCCAGTGTGTTTAAAGAAAGTAATTTACTGAAAACTTTATAGTCAAGAGTCCAGAAAAATTACACCAAAGGCATTTATTTTAATTTATTTCAATAATATTATTCTCACAAAGTACTTCTCAGCTCTTCAATTTTTATGGTTGTTTTCCTCCGTTCTTTGGTTCCATAACTTCCCTTCTTAAAGAAATTGATAATGCATAACTTAAACCTATCTAGTCTTAAAAATGTTAAACCTCCTGAACTTCTTCCTTGTCCTTTTCTTGCTCTGTTAAGTAATCCTATGCATTCCACTTCTGGTTTTTCTGGCCTAACCCAATCAGACACGATTTTCCAATTTCCAATATTATTTTAAACACTTGTAATGAATTCACCACCAATGAAACCTGGTGCCAGTATCTCCCTACAGACAACTTTATCCTCATCTTCATAAATCTCATGAACAAAAGGCAAACAAAACCTGATCTAACCTTTGTGGGTTTTGCCACAAAAAGTACCAAGAGCTGACAGAAGATGACACAGTGCATGACTTTTTGCTTAAGAGATCATGTGAAGAGATGCCCCTTTTGAGCATTATTCTTCAAAAATGAGCTGGATCAACTAGAAAACATCCAGAAAGGAACAAGAATAAACAGACATATAGAAAATCCTTCCAACACCTGAAGGGAGCCTACAGATGGGAAGATGGGGAGAGACTATTTCCAAGGGCCTGGAGTGACAGGACAAGGGGCAATGGCTTCAAACTGACAGAGAGTATGGTTAGATTGGATATCAGGAAGAAATTCTTCCCTGGGAGGGTGGTGAGGCCCTGGTACAGGTTGCCCAGAGAAGCCGTGGCTGCCCCATTCCTGGGAGTGTCCAAGGCCAGGTTGGATGGGGCTCTCAGCAACCTGGGATAGTGGAAGGTGTCCCTGACCATGGCAGGGGATTGGAACTGGATGATCTTAAAGTCCCTTCCAACCCAAACCATTCTAGGATTCCATGATTGTATGAAAATGTTTAGAAATCAAGACTGAAAGAGCAGAGTCTAGCTCATCTGAAAAAAAGCAAGCGGGGTGACAGAGATATGATATTGTGTTGGTTTGTTGAAAAGAGGACAGAACTATTCCTTCTCTTTATCTTTAAAAGATGAAAAAAAAAGGAGAAAAAAATTAACATGTAACAAGGAGATTTAAAAAAACACTAGCAAAAGCTTATTAGCAGTACAGATAGAAAAGCATTAGAATAGATTACCTAGGAAGGAATTGAAATCTCCAGTGCTGGATTTATTTAAGTACAAATTAGACAAACATCTCTTCATAATGATTTAAGTAGAGTTGATCCTACCACGCACAAGGGATGGCCCCTCAAGGTCCATTCCAGCCTTATTTTTATGATTCTACTTTCCTAATTCTTCAACTTGTGCTGAGATTTGTCTGGCACTCCTTCACTTGTCATAAACAAAGGATTCTTGCTGATCCCACAGTTCCTATCCACAAACTTTCACCATTTCAGGCCTCTTCATCACAGGACCTCACAAATCTATAGATTCTTTTACAGCATTTTACAGATATTAAGCTAAACCTTAGGATTTTGTACTGCAAGTTGAAATTCTGTAAAATCTAGTTGGTTCATCAACTACCCTACAGAGCCAAGAGATGACTCTCCAGCCTCTGCTTTTGTACTGTAATTGGTACAGAATTGCTGCTCTCCCTGGGAGATCCCACATAGGACAAGCAGAAACTTCTGATGTGCTGATGCACTGGGCTTGCATCAGAACTCCCAGACTGGGAGTGCTGGGTTATACTGTGAGCATCACCCATGTCATAACTGGAGAGAGAGTAGTGAAAAAGCTGAGAAACCAGGTGAAAAGTAGAGGAAGTTGTAGTCAAGTGATCAGTGAAATTTTTGGGAATATTTGGGAGGCCTCCCATACGTTGAAGGTGTTGCTGCATGATGGGGTAGTGATGGAATAAGAGGAATACAGGAGTCTGCTCTCTGTTCTCAGGTTATCTTTTCATTTTATCCAATTATTCTTATCTGGGGAATAGGTAAAAATGGAATAATATTATCACCATTCTACATCATGAAGTTCATGATGTCAGTTTACTTTCCTTCTATGTTATTTGCACTCTACATCCTCTTTTTAGCTGAGCTCAAGTAGCAGGGCTGAAGGCTTGTTTGTGATCTGTTGTTTAAAGAACTATGCTGGAACACCAAGAGAAGAAATGGATTCAAAACCTCCCATCATATCAAGATAGGCCTGCAATTCACTTTCCAGGAACTTGAGCACATTTTATTGAGTTAATGAAGAGAGCAAGGCACACTGAATTTTTCCAGACAGGTAGTTGACTCACCACAGACCATAAAAGAATCTAATTGCTGCAGTTCTGAATTCCTGAATAAGACCCTGACCTTAGAGACACCTCAGCACATACTGCCAGGGGAAGGTCCAAAGTCTACCTGTTCTCAGTATGATATTTATAGCTATTAACTGCACTCTCTTTAGTCAGAAATTAATCCTTTGGTGAGAAGCAGTTCAGCATTTAAACAGAGGCATTTAAACAGACCAATGCCCAAGAACAGAACTAAAAACAAAATTAGGGACACTGTAAATGCCAATAAGCAAATATATCTCACTTTTCAGTCAATTCAGGTACAGTTGGAATCCCCATGGCTCATTGAAAAGCACCTTCTGAAGAAACCAGCCCCATTGATTGCTTTGAAACAGCTCTCTTCATGAGTACCTGGAGCTCAGGATGATGTACCCAAGGCATCATAGATGCCACACAGACCTGGATGCAAATATTGCTTATGTGACCTGTGGCTATCATCATCCCAGAGAATTTTAGTTATACATAATGAAGCAACATCTATATGACAAAGGATTTATCCTGTGTCATTTTGCTGCTGCACACTGCACAATGGCACATGGGCACTGTCAGCAGAACATGACCTGCTATGAACTTATAATCCTTTTCACCATTAATTATTAATATTAGAGTGCTGACTAGTAAGATAGAGGTGATGATTTCTTAAATGACACTTTGGTGCTCAAAACTGTAGCAACTACAGTCCTTTAGAAAAACACAGCTATGAACTGCACTGGACTAGAAAACACTCATGAGAAACCTATGGATACATATATTCAAATATAGGATAATTTATACAGCAAATTAACACATGGAGAGAAAACTTACTTCTTCCTCCTCTAGTCCAGTTAGATCCCAGAAGTAGCTCAACCTCATCTGCAACCGCTTCCATTGTTCAAGGAACATAGTAGCTTTAAAAAAAAATAAAACAATTTTAGAAAGATAAATTCAATGCACCATGGTGGATGTTTGTGTTACTTATAAGCTCCAACTGATATTTGAATCCCATCATGCTGGACCCTTTATAATTAAGCACCAAGAAACAGCCTCAGGCCCAGTCCTAAAGAAAGAACACAAGTAAAGCATGGAAACAGTAGTTACTGTCTTTTACAAATAAAATAGAGGAAGATACAACATGGGTTGCCCAAAGCCACTGGTAAGTTCTTGTTAGAGAATGGAACTGAACCCACATCTGCTGTTACCACTCAAGACATCATCTCGTCTTATTCACCATGAAGTAGGTGTAGCTTGCCACTGAAATAATGAGGATACCCACTAATATGTAGGAAAATATCTTATTTTGAAATATATTATAGTGCTACAGTTGAATGGCTCTGTCCTGCATGGACATGGTGATTTTTTTCTAAAGGACTGGTGACTGGTTCAGCCCCCTGCTTCTCCTTTTTATTAATATGAAGGAACAGATGTTTTACTGTTGTCTCATATTTACAGTCTCCTGACTTTCCTCTCACAATTGCTGTTTCCTCCAGACAGCCCTTTGTCTCACTGCTCATGATTTAGGGACTTACAGATTTATTAGAAATAGCACTTCTGACTCTTGACTTGCTGGCACCTATTTTCAGATGACAATATCGAAACTAAACCAGGACATGCCAACTAAAAACACCCACTATGCTGATAAAAGCTATACCTATAGACAACTGTGAGCACCATTTTCCATTGAATTATGTTTCACTTCACCTTTTCAGTTGGTGAAAAGGGTATTGTAAAAACACTGTTTGATCACAACAGTATTTACATGACTTTGAAGAACTTTTAGGTGGCCCCACAAGACATACAACAATGGAGAGTTAGATTCAGCTTTCTTTGACTTCATCTACACTGTAAGATAACTCTGTGAAAAGTTAGAACACTAGGAAAATAACCTGGATCTTACATGTCATAATCTATTCCAACAGTTAGCTGCAAATATTTTCTGCACAGATATCCTCCCATCCTGTAAGAAATAAATATAATTTAAAGACAGGACTGAAAGCAAATCAAGACATTATGCAACTAAGCTCCTATCTGTGCTCCTTCCTTACAGAGGAGAGAACATATAAAAGCTATATTTAGCATGGTTTGAAAACTCAAGGTTTTTAGATATCCTAAATACAAAAACATTTGGTTAGTTTATAGGGTGCTATTACTCATTCCATTTTTTCCTGTTATACAAAAAGTCAGTTCCACATTTAGCTCTGCAAGAACTTCCTTGGCTTGATGCAGCAGCTGTTCTGAAAGCAGCAATTTTGCACTGACTTACACTAGCAGAGAAACTAAACTGTAAGAGAGCAGGTTTAGATTAGAAATTAGGAAGAAATGCCTTACTGTGAGGGTGGTGAGGCCCTGGCACAGGTTGCCCAGAGAAGCTGTGGCTGCCCCATCCCTGGAAGTGTCCAAGGTCAGGTTGGATGGGGCTCTGAGCAGCCTGGGATAGTGGAAGGTGTCCCTGTCCATGGCACGGGGTTGTAACTGGATGATCATTAAGGTCCCTTCCAACTCAAACCATTCTGTGATTCTGTGAAACTGTCCCAATAAATGCCTCTGACAGCTGAAATCCATCATCCCAGAACACCAGTGACATTCAGCACAGTCAGCCAGGCATTACTCTCTATTTTGTGAATATGGTCACTTGCAAGCAGGACTGCTAGAATCACAGAGACACTTTATAAGGTATCAGGATCAACTAGTAAAAGCATGACTCCTTTTGAGATATTGACCATAGCAAGCCATCTACTCTTTAAAGGATGGGAGAAGACAAGCAGGATGAAAGAATTCTTGCGTCCAACACCACGGTGAAATGAAGGCAACCCAGACACAGCTCTTTTCAGTGTACAGCTGTAATCAGTGTGTGAACGAGCACTGCTTTCAGCAGATTGAGGTCTAGATATCACCAGTAGAGTCTTCTAGCAGTTAGGCACCAAAATTTGGTGTAATCTAATACCTAAGAGGCAAGCTGGGCAGAGTTAGTAAAGGCTACTTTATTTCACTTTGCTGTTCTTTGTATGTCCCGGCTGTATTTTCGTGCACTGACAGGCTCAGTTATCATGGCCCCAAGAACAGACTTTTCCAATCTGTGGGAAACATTTTTTGGAGGCGGGCTACAGCTCAGAACGAATTTTGTTATTCTTACATGCCTTTTTTAAAAGCAGTGCCTGTGGAACTTTTTGTCCTTTTCTGTTCCATAACAGATTCTACTAATTTGTCTTAGTGCAAAGATGTATCAACATTTTCCTTTGCACGATGCATTGCTGATACTAAAATACGATTGCTCTGGATGAGGCTGCGTGGAAATGGTCGTTTGTATGGATGCAAGTTTACAGGAGAGATTCTCTGTCAGGAAAATGCTATTTACCTATGAAAGAGTAAATGAATTGTCCTGCACACAGGTGCTGCCTAAACAGCTGCACTGAAACTTGGACAAGGCAGTGTAAGCTGTGACACTTTATCTGCCAGTCCACCCTGTAACTGGCAGCAATCTGAAACAGGAAAAGAAGTCATTGTGAGAGACTATAAATTCATCCTCTTTTTCCATTTCTCAGTTATAGTTCTCACATATTCCCTAATTTCTGCTCTAGGATTTCCAGGAACTGGTAAAAAAACTCATCTTACTTCCATGACCTGTTCTGTCTGCAAGTTCCTTAAAAACTCTGTGCTGTCCTGACCCAACACCAAGGTACCAATCCCTCCTTTCTAAAACGAGCTGTAAAATTTTAATAGGGTTGCAAAGCATAACACACTGATTGCTGAGGAGTGGCTATATTACAATAACATATTTGCTACATTTTATATCAAGAATGCAAATTGCTTTCGGGGAACAATGGATAGGGAAATAAAAAAATCATTTTACAGTAGCAATAGCATCTTTAACTTTCACAATAAAGAAGATCTAGAGTGTATAAGGGCATAACACCAGCAATAATTCATGCAAGTACAGTACACACACTTTTCAGGGCAGAGGTGAAGCCAGAAATAATAAGAATAATACTACAATGCATTCATTTGTGTTCATGAAGTGTTTTGATATCCTCAGTGAGACAGGGATATTTGCCATTAAAGAAAACCAAGCTTGTTTAAATGGAATACTTTAAAACATATTATAATAAAATGAAAATAGTCCCATTGTTCTTCAAAGCCCATAAAGTTTTGATAAAATTATGTGACTAAGTTGTCCCACAAGGAAGTGCACTCTGTGCTTAAATTAAACCCTTTCAGCTGTCTGCACCATGCCAATCCTCAAACACATTCTGGCCCCAAATGCAGAAGGTGTTAAAAGGACTTGAAATGTCGATAGAGGAGGAAGAAGAGTGAATAAAGATGTGGCAAAGATTAGAAGTGTCATTAAAGGCACTCCTTTCTCCTCCATAGAGAAAATGGCCTCAAGCTGCACCAGGAGAGGTTCAGGTTGGACATAGGAAGAATTTCTTCACTGAAAGGGTGGTCAGGCATTGGAAGGGGCTGCCCAGGGAGGTGGTGGAGTCCCCATCCCTGGAGGTGTTCAGGAAATGAAGTGGACACAGCACTCAGTGCTCTGGGCTGGGTGACAAGATGGGCATCGGTCACAGTTTGGACTCAATCAACCTGGAGGTCTTTTCCAACCTTGATGATTCGATGATTCTAAACAAGGCAGTAAGGAAGAAAGGACATATTTTTCCTCCTTGAACTACCCAACTCCTCTCCATTTATTCCAAAGCTTGTTGATGACAGCAGAAAGCCTTGTAATATTGCTTTCTCCAGCCTCAGCACAGACAGCCCCTCTCTGCCCCCCCCGAGGATTGCTTCCTGAAGCATCACATTCAATCTAACAGCACTTTATTATTCTGTCCAGAGTCCAACAATCAGGTGACACTGTTAACAAGCACAGCAATACTCACCCCAGAGAGCCATGAAGATGGAGAAGAACACTGTGGCAGGGTTGTCAAACAAGTGACTGGCTCGAGCAGTAGCACAAGCAGAGCTGAGGTTCCAGTAATCACAGAACGTGTCACACAGGGGGCACATGGTGAAGGCATTGCGTTGGTCACACATCTCTTTACTAGGAATGACAAGTGCACAAATTCCTCTGAGTGTTACTCAGAAAACAGAGATGTACAGCAGTGATATCAAGTTATTTGCAAGATATGTGGCCTGCACTTGACAGAAGCTGTGTGTTTCTTCAAGGCTTATTGCCATGTTTGGTAATTTTTAAAATACTTACAGGCACCTTACCAACAGAAAAATAATACAACACTCAACCAGACTGATCACTACCCTGCATGAATGAATTAGGGAAGGTAGCATCACTGAAGACTGAGGTTACCACACTAAAAAAACTCATTCAAACACAAAGTGGAATTTGCCATCTCTGAAGTCAGTTACATGATTTGATACAGATAAGATTTAAGTTACTGAAAAAGAACACTGAAATGGTCTGAAAGGAAATTCAGTGCCCTTGAGAAAAGACACGTTAATATAGGGACACAAAAATGTAGGAAAAGAGACTTTTAAACAGATTTTAAAATCTTTACTGTAAGGTTGATTTTTTAATTCTTGGTCTTACTTGCTATGTGCGTGTTCAGTTTCTAAAAATCTTTAAAAACTCATTATCAGTATTTCTTTAACAGGCCAAACCCTACTCGAAAGTGCTGACTGTGCTTTCAGTTTTTTCCATAGGGCTTGGATTGTGAAAGATGTTCATAGACTCACTTAGGTGAACCAAGTAGTTCAAAGCTCAAGTGTTCTTGCTGGGATCGTGAGCTAAGGAAAGACTTACACTACTGCTTCAAGGATAGCTGGCATGTCATGATTATGTTTATTCCTATATTGATCATCATTAAATAGCTTTTTATGTGAATTCAAATGAAAAAAAAAGAACTATTCAACTGTAGTATCAGTATGTTTAATATTATATCATTTGAAATGCACACAGCTGTTTCCAGCTCTCCTGTTGTTACAGTAATGCTCTCTTCTATTTCAAAAGGCAGTAGAGGGTGCTGCAGATACATCTTAGCCATAAATCTCATTAAAATTGAAATGTTAGCACAAGCTTTCATGCAGTCAAGCACAGCCCATGAAGATTCATTGAGATCAAGCTAAGAAAACAGACCCTGACTCAGATGTGGTACAGTTCATCATTTACCTATCAGTAATCCTGTCCTACTGCAGTGATTCACTTTAAAAGTTGTCAGTTCATTTAAGCAAATGCAGGAACCATCATGAGTGTGACCAGCAGTACTGGTAATGCAATATCCTGTCTCCACCAGAAGTCAGACACAGATAATAAAGAGGAAGTGTCCTTTTTATTTACACTGAGAAGTAGACATTGACATCACAGTGTCACCTTGGCAGTTTTTGTGTAGTGTATCACCCTCAGGATACACAAAAACTCAACATTTTTGTTGTAACTGTCTACATGGAAAAAATTGTGGAGACCAAATATAGAGTCATAGAATGGTTTGGGTTGGAAGGGATCTAACAGATCATCTAGTTCCAACCCCCCTGCCATGGGCAGGGACACCTTCCACTAGCCCAGGTTGCTCAGAGCCCCATCCAACCTGGCCTTGGACACTTCCAGGGACGGGGCAGCCACAGCTTCTCTGGGCAGCCTCTGTCGGTACCTCCCCACCCTCACAGGGAAGAATTTCTTCCTGATATCCAATCTAAACCTGCTCTCTGTCAGTGTGAAGCCATTGCCCCTTCTCCTGTCACTCCAGGCCCTTGGAAATAGTCTCTCTCCATCTTTCTTGTGGACTCCCTTCAGGTCCTGGAAGGTCACCATTAGGTCACCCCAAAGCTTCTCTTCTCCAGGCTGAACAATCCCAACTCTCTCAGCCTTTCCTCACAGCTGAGCTGCTCCATCCCTCTGATCACCTTGGTGTCCCTCCTCTGGACTCACTCCAACAGCTCCATGTCCTTGCTGTGCTGGGCCCCCAGAGCTGGAGGCAACACTGCAGGGGCGGTCTCCCCAGAGAGGGGCAGAGGGGCAGAATCCCCTCTCTGAACCTGCTGGCGCACACTAAATCTTCTAACTACTGTTCATCTTACTGATACAAATAGTCTGATTTTCAAATTACTTTCTGTTTGAACATGGATATATGTACACTCATAAAAAGCAAATGAATGTCTTAGAAAAAGAACTCAATGCAGTAGACTCACTAAACGATTCTGTTTCAGGAGCTGAGGCACTGAACAGCCTGTGTGACATTCAAATGTCATATCTGCTCAATGCATGTGTGTTTCTAATGCTCACAGGGTTGGTAATGATACATCACTGCTCTTCACATAAGTTAAAAGCAATCATTTTCACTAAGGATTAAGAACAAAAAGCAGAGTCTTATAAATTTCAAGCAATGAATTGTGGATCACAGATAAACTTACCTAGGAATGTCACTTTCAATTGTTATGCATCCATATAGAAATACAATAATCCCAACTACTGAAGATGGAATGAGGAATTCTGTGTACAAACCCAGCCAGGCAAAATAAAGTCCTATCTTTTCTCCAAAATACTTCCTAAAAAAAAAAAAAAAAAAAAAAAAAAGAAAAGCATGTGTCAAGGATATAATTTTTAAATGTGTCTTACAGCTACTCAACAATCCCAAAAAGTTAAAATACTAATTGTCAGTGACATGAATGAAAACCCTGAGCATCTTGAAGACAATATGACCACATAAAGGAAGTAATTTATGAAGTTGGCAGTTTGGGCTTCTCTGTTCTGAGGAGTTAAAGACAGTCCTGTATCATTCTCCTGAGCACATATTAAGTAGGTATCGTTACAATACATACCTAATATGTGCTCAGGGAACACCATGGCTTTTGCACCTCTAAAATTAAGTCATTGAAATAGTAGAAAACATTGGAAAATACTTGGCTCCTCAGAGGGGTTTGTAGATACACAATTATTTTTTGCCTCCTGGATTCAATTGGTGAGAGTCATGGAAATGACATCTATGGGACATCATACTGACAACATCCTCTAATATGTTAAAAGATCTTGAATTGCTGTTAAAGAAGAAATTTTCATTTGTACACCTAGCATTGGCTCTCCAGAAAGAATAGTTTTGTCCAGTTAACAGCCTCTGGACAGCTGCTTTGAAAAAACAGTTTCTGCTCTGAGGTACAGTCCACTTTAGATGTTGATAAATAAGTGCTAGTACTCAGCCCAGCATCTTCCTGAATCACACTGCACCAAATAAACTAAACATAGATGAACCTCACTGATCGTTCCAAAGGACTTTTGGGAGTGATTACAAATATTGCAAAACACCAAGAACTTGACAGAGCTCCAGAAGTCACCAAAATTTAGGTAAAACCCCACATGGTTAGAAACATTCCACAAGCCAGAGAACGAGATGGAGCAATGCTGGACAGAAAGCAGCCACACAGAGAGCACTCAGGGCATGACATGACCTCTGAGTCAGTGAGACACATTCACACTGTGGTGGCAGCAAGAACTAAAAGAAATTCCTGATATCCTCTGTAATAAAAGAAACACAAGACTTGCTCCTCATAAAGGTTGAGCACAATCCTTTGAGATTAGTCTGACCTCACTCACACTAGGAAGGTTTTACCCAAGTTTAGCACCCCACATTTAAATTATTCCTAATGAAAATGGTTAAATGAGATTTTTGGAGACCCCGACTTTCTTTTAACAGATATAATCCTGTTCTGACAAACTTTAATGACAAACATCCACATCTATTGAGTTGAGCTCAAGCCCTTTCAGCAGCATAAGTCGAACTGAAATTTCCTACTCCAGGAGTTGGGTCTGAGGGCCAGGCTGCTCCTTCCACAGGAGAGACAGGAGCAGGACTGCAACCAAGGCAGAGAGCCATGGGACAACAAGACAAGAATCCACAGTCCTTTCCAGCTCAGATGAAATGGATAAGGGAAACAACAGTGGGGGTTTTTTATTACTACAGATCCTGCTGTTCTCACACCATCCCAGCTGCAACTAACTTCACAGTTCCAGGCTCTCACACGGAAAAGCTGGCAGTGCAATCCTGCCTATTTGCCTTCCATGAGTTCCTGTATTTCCTTATGTCTAAGTAAGGTTGCTCATCCCTTAGAAAAGATACATGCAATCATAAAAGGGAAAACAGAACAAAATCACTTCAAGGTGATATAGAGACATTATCTTCAGTATAAGGGGATGCCATAACTTGGAGAACCAGCACAGAAATGAGGGAAATTTCAGGACCTTCTGGGCAATAACTTAATAAGCTGTGTCATCCTTCTGTTTCAGAAAGACAACTTGCACGAGTCAGAATGGGAATACTATTTGCAGTAACCATTCTTTAAACAATTTATATCAGCTCAGTAGCTCCACATTCACATTACAGCATAGTTTTCAAGCACTTGGGACAATGGATCATCACATTTGGAGAGAATATGAAGAAATATGATATGATACAGTATATTTCATAAAATGATAGCAATAAGTCTTGATTTGGAAAATATAAACATAATCTTGTGAGACTTCTCTGTGACCTGGCACATGCCAGGTAATGTTTGAGGCAATTTTTAGGAGGCAGTTTTTCTTTACGTTCACATTTGTTGAGAGCTTTTAAGAATTTTCTTAATATGAAATGAAGGAGGAAATACTTGATTGAAATATAGAAATAACCAGAAGGGCTGTAGCTTTTCTTCAGTCCTGTGTGATTCAACAAACAGCAGCAATGGCCTTGGAACAGCACAGGATAGAGGGAAACTCAATTTGCTCTCAAGTTTCCTTTGGACTGAGGAGTGACACACATTGCATGTGACAGTAAGGCAAATATAACTGAGCACATCCTAACAACACAGAACAAGAAGGAGGAGAGGGAGATAATTCTGATTATGTCTTCTTACTGCTTCCTTGTTTGTAGAGTTGGGCAGCATGCACAGCCAGCAAAGTGCTTCAAATAGGTCAAAGCAGACATGAAAAATAGTCCACAATCTAAGCTGTTGAAACTGTCTGTTCTTTTGACAAAGGGCCTCAAATTAGCACAGAAAGTGTTCAAATCCCAGAGGCATTAAAGAGTAGCTGACCAGGGTCAGAGAAGTTGACGTTTGTGGCTCATGAGGCTTCCCCTAGAATTTTTAAGCCTTCTAGTGATAAATGTGATCTGTAACCTATAAAGCCAAGGGTTGCTGTTTGCACCCGTGCCAGAAGAAAGTGAGAAGAGCTCAACAATGTCCTGGCAGTATGGAAAAAAGCAGTTGCCAAGAAGAAAACTGTACAGGGTTCTGTGGCTTCACTGTTTTGAAAAAGAAAAATAATTAAGACTGGTGTGCCCAATCTCCACCATTGTGCCAGAAAGTGAAATAATCTATGGACAAGCAATGGCAGTGCTTGGAAGCATAATGATAAATTTAAATATGAGTTTATCAAGCTAGAAAAACACAGGATGTAGACATATTCTTTCCTTTCTTCGACACATCCCAAGAACTGTTCTCTAATTCCTGTGAATAGGAGTCAAGGCTCTACAAACACCTGTGACCTACTGCAGACACTGCTGGATTCTGTAGTGAATGAACAGGAAAAGAAAAGTGTTCTTCAATGGTAGAGAAAGATACAAGTCAAGAAAAGGAATTTTTACAAGTTTTTGCATATTTACACCAAGAACTTGGCATGTTCTCTCATTTACATTGGGATAAAATACGTCTAACTTTATTATACTCAAGGAATTACCCATGGTTTGCACTGGCACGGAAAAAGAGCAGAACTGAGGCGAGAGTTTTATCCTACCTCAGCAGCTGACTCGCATCCAGTTCACATATATCCAGACCAAGCTAAGGATTAGTCCTTTCCAAAGTGTCTCATGGATACTGCAGAATGCCAGCATGTGCCCTCAACCCTGCATGAGCTTTATTTCCACATTAGCTGTAATCTAATGTAGGGAAATATCCCTTTATTCACACATGTGCCATGAGGACACCCAAAGCAAGGGGCAAATGGCTTTGATAAGGAATGTGTACTGCTCCTATCAGGAGCAGCAGCCAAGGCTTTTGTTCTGTGTTGATACAGCATAAGGTGAAACTTCGTGCCTTTCACTTTGGAAAGCTTTCAAAAGTCTGGTTAAATGGTCCCGAACCAAACACTGAGCTCTCTTGAGTAAGAACCTTGTCTTCAAGGAAAGATTTGGCCAAATCATCCATAACGCCTTCAGCAGCTGAACTAGAGTTGCACTTGCAGCAAATTATCAGAAACAACATGAAAATGCTACAACAGCAACAACAACCACCTGTAGGAAGTGTATTCCCTCCCATAACTGGAATAAGAAGTGTTGAGGAGGCCACAGCGAAAATGTTTACCCTGTTTCTTGTGCTTCACCCTTATAACACTCAAACCAGACATCTGCAATGCACCCTCGTCTGTCTGGTTGCAAAACCAACACCAGAAAGAAGAACTGATTATTAAACCCTACTCTTGCACGTTGGTCACAGCGCTCCCGTGCCAAGTTGTGCAATTTATAAATAGACCAAGGTTTGGGGAGGGGGGGAGAAACAGAGAAGGAAAAAAAAAAGCTTAGTTTTTGACTCTGTGAAAACAAGTGTGGGATACCTGGAATGTGAATAGAACATGTGGTGCGTGACACACGCTGGAAAGAACTCTGGAGATGTTCAGGAGCAAAGTTAAAAAAGCGAGGAAAAGACGCTGTGAGTCACCTAACTGGGAAATCTGTTCAAAACTCCCCAGTTCTTTAATTTCCATACCCAATTCTAGGCCAGCTGTCATTTCATTTTTACAAATTGTTCCACCACCCCTTTGGTGGAGGGATGTTCCATATGCAATAGTTTCTATGCAAGACTAAACTGATTTACAGCTACTTATTGGGTACGTTTCCCCCATGCAAATGGTCCAACAAGTCACGTGTGTTACTTACGCCTTCAAAATAAACTTATTTGCACAAGATTCTGGTGGTTTTACTGTCAGGAAGGACAAGTCCTCTAAAAGTATAGTTTCATGGTAGAATACCCCTACTACCAAGGCCAGTTTAAAAATACTCTTTCCCTCCCCAGCTTCCAGCCCAGGTGCACATTCCCTTTTTGACCCACAGCAAGACAGTTCCCAGTGCAGGCTTGTGGACAGCTGGGATGGAGCAGTGGGGAAAATGGAAACCTGCTGCAGAGGGCCAGGAAAACAGTTGGTTCTTTCAGGAGCCTTTGTCACAAGAAGAAAATCCACTATTAAACTGAAGGTAGAACAATGATTACCCTTAGAAACAGAGAATGAATTTCTAGCACATATTAAGTGAAGAACACGAACTTGTTCTCAGTTCTGAGATAATACTTCACACCAAATTGAAGTTTCCATCTCAGAACTTATTCAGGAAGACTGATAGAGCATAGAGAAAATGCCAGTCACTGCAAGATAGTCAGGAACAGTAACAACTCTGTCCACCCCACCATTTCACTCCACGTAGAGCTGCCTATCTCCAAACTTTTCTAGATTTGTTGTTTTTCTTTCCATTTAAAATTTTCTCAGGGCAGGATTCAAGCATTTATTGCAACCATCTGGGACACCTGGG